AAAAAGTAAAGCTTCAAACTTGAATAACAATTTAAGCGCGATTAATGCAAGAGAAAAGATGTAATTTAAATCGCAATTCTTTCCGTCTGTTGGGAGGGTTTTTGATTGAAGATTTTTTCGGCTGTCTATATAGTTTAGCCTATCGTTTCCATCAAGCTTAGAGGACTTGACACGTGGATGGGGAATGCTTACAATCTTCATTTTTCTAATATTTCAGGAGCTAACGTTTTTGGCATGATGCTGTCGATACTGGGAGTGTTTTGCTACAACAGAGTGAGTAACTGTCGCGCGATCATTAAATTTTCATTAACACGGTCTTAGAAGACACTGTTCTTACGTTCTCACAAGCAGATTAAACTTCTTTCTTGCAAATTAATATTCAGGCAAAACAAGAGGAAAAAATGTCTTCACATTCGCTGCCGTTCACACGCTCTCACACAGTATTGTCGGAGGCAACTCTTGTAGAATTGGACAATGGCCCAGACAATGATTTGATGTACTGGTGAGATTGTTCTCCTTGCGGTTTTTATTAGATTTATGTAGTTTTCCGCTGCACTCGTTCTTCCATGCTTTTATATGCCAGGTTTATGTTGAAGGGCGTCATCAAATCGTCCATCCTCAAATGGAAGTCGCCTGGGCGACTTCGCATTCTCTAATCATGTTGTGTATGATTACGACAAGATGGACGATATCAGCAAAGAGCAACATAGTCGGCGACATGTTCGTTTTGCTTGACGATGGGACAACCAGTTTTGAATATCGGGTGACAGCTAGTTAGCGGTTAGCCGGAAAGAGCTTATTTTGTAGGGCTACTTAGCCCTCTTCAATCATTTGTGGTTGTGGACTCACTCATCTGTCTCTGACGATAACTTGTTATTTGTCTGAAAAAGGCTAGGTATAGAAGCATTTGCGTATTTTGCTGAAAAGATGTTTCCAACGGTACCGTAAGATGAAAGACAGAGATATTCATGCATTCTGCGTTAAGCATAACACATGAAACTTATCTGCCTTTCTTATGAATTCAGTTTCAAAACTTTTTCTAGGTGTTCATATCAGTTTTTCTTATAACTTTTCGGAGTTAGCTATAAAACAGAAAGGTTTTTAAAGCTGGCGTGAGCTTAGTTTATTTCATTTATAAATCCAACTTTTTTAATATTTTACATGCTCAAAAAACTGGTGACAAGCTTGTGGAAATTTTGAGCATGTGCACATGCTGTCTATCTTATTAAATGCTTCTAACCATTTACATATCTTCGAGCACTCATATACCCCTAGATCAGATTAAGAATCTTTCATGATGCTTGGCAATATATTCTCAGAAATGTCTCCACTTAATTTACGCTTATG